TGTTTTCTGTATTTCAGTGATGTACGTCATTGGGATTTTAATAGGAATTGCATTGAATTTGTATATTAACTTTGGAAGTATTACCATCTTTACTATATTAAGTCGGCCTATCCAAGTGCATGGGAGGTCTTTCCATTTCCTAGTGTCTTCTGCAATTTCTTTAACTTTTTGTAGTTTTCATTAAATAGTTCTTTTACATCTTTGGTTAGGTTAATTCCTAAATGTTTTATTTTTTGGGAGGTTATTGTGAATGGGGTTGCTCCCTTTATTTCCCTCTCTTCTTGTACATTCTCAGTGTACAGGAACCAGCCCAGCCTTTTGATAGTTAACTAGATATGGACTTTTCTGCCCAGACTGGATAAACCATGACCCTTTTAATCTTAGCCTCCTGAGTAGCTAGAACTTCAGGCAAGAGCCACCAGCATCCAACTAACGATTATATTCAATGAAACAAATCTGGTCCCTCAAATGTTAAATTTTACAAAAATTATACACATACAAGAATGGAGGCAATCACCTACAAGTGAATCTCAAGTCCAGAAGACTTATCAACTTTAGTCCAATGTTGCTGATATTGTATCAGATCATTTTTCAATCATTATGTAAAAATCTAGGGAAAAAAGCTATTAAATGGCCATCACTATTAACAATATGGCATATGGAAAATTGGTGTTGTTGCTGGATTTCTAATTGAAACAGGGAATGGACTTCTGCACTTGCCAAGCAGGAGTTCTATCACTGGAGTCATGTCCTCAGCCCAAAATACTTCATTCTTTTTATTTCGTGGTGGTTCTGGGATTTGAACTTGGGGCCTCACACTTGCTAAGCAGTCACACTACTATTCAAACCTCACCACCAGCCCATTTTGCTTCCCTTATTTTCAAAGAAGCTCTCAAATTTCTGCTAATACTGGACTTGACTATGATTCTCCAACTTACGCCTCTCACTTCTCTGGGAGTAGCAGTGGTCACCATCATGCCCAGCTATTCAGCTACTGATGGAGAGGAGATGGGACTCTCCCTTACTTTTTGTCCAGGCTATCCTCAAGCCATGACCTTTCCTATGTCCACTTCCTGAGTAGTTAGGATTACAAGTGTGCACCACTGGTGCTCAGCCTTATTATTATTTTTTTAGATGAAAAATGCTTTCAAATTTCTGAATATCATTGAGTTCCTTTAAAAAAGTCACCTGTAGTGCACTAGTGAATTTCACCTTGTGGATGCAGCCGAAATTTCCCCCTTTAGACACCAACTTTACTTGTAACTTTTTACTAGTTCAAAAATATTTACCTACCAATAGGGTAAGGACTGGTCTAGGAATAAGACAAAGAGGTAAAATGAATATTTTTATTCATAAATTTGTGTTTATAATCTTAAGATAATCAGAAGTAAAAAATATCAAATCAAAGGACATAAAATGTTTACATATTCTTGGTATTCTGTCAAAATTTCTAATTTTTTCCTTCTTCTACTCATAGTATATGAGGCTGCTTTAAGGCTTAAGAATCAGCTAAGCCCATGTTGAGTTGGCATTGTACAGAAATTAATAGCCATATTAGTCTAGAAATGTTAAACTTAATTTTTTTCCATTTGTACAGGGGTAAACGCACTGTATTAAATATGTAAGGTCTTATCTACATGGGTTTGATTACAGAAACTAATAAAGTATTCTCAAAAAAAAAAAAAAAAGAATCAGCTAAGCAGAATAGAACACCTATGGTTGGAGGCATGGCTCAAGTGGTAAAGTATCTACCTAGCAAGCACAAGGCCCTGAGTTCAAACCTCAGTACAACTGAAAAAAAAGAGCAAGTCACTGTTTTTGCTTTGCACTTCACTCAAGACTGAAGGTGACCCTTCGCCAGCACTCTCTACTTTCTCTATTACGATGTTTCCCATTGCTTTCATATCCCTAAGTCCTTGGTGACACAAACAAAAGTATTTACCTAGACCTCAAATTTAGTTATCATATTTAGTGTTTCTTTGTGTCAGCTGTGGGGCTTGAACTCTGGGCCTGGGTACTTCCCGAGCTCTTCAGCTCAAGACTAGTGCTCTACCCCTTAAGCCGCAGCATTACTTCCAGTTTTCTGGTGGTTAATTGGAGCTAAGAGTCTCATGGACTTTCCTGTCTGGGCTGGTTTGAACCATGATCCTCAGATCTCAACCTCCTAAGTAGCTAGGATTACTGGCGTGAGCCACCGGCACCCGGCTTCAGTGCTTCTTTCTGCAGTGCTGCAAATGGAACCCAGGACCCACCAAGTTATAGCTGTGGCCCCACACCTAAATTTGAAGCAGCTCAAGTTCTTCCCAACAAAACTTAAAAGCTCTCCATATGAGATCTGCACATTCTGACAGACAATTAAATCCATTCTTCTCTACTATGAGGCTCAGGTGAACCTGCCAAGAGTAGAACTTTTATTCTTACACACAAAAAAATCTGAGTTAATGAAAATTACTATTAATGGCAAAACAAATGACTTGCCCTCTCCTACAAGTGGCAGAGAGGAAAGGCAGAAAACAGATCATCATGGAGAAGGAAATTAAAAAAAAATATTTTGCTATTACTAATTAGGGTCTTCTTCAAGAATCATGAAGTCTATTTTTAAGGCTTCCAATCAAAGTTCTGAAATGAAGACTGACTTTTTACTTACCAGAACAAGCCAACAAAATACAACGGCAAAGCTGTAGTGCTTCCTGACTGCCGAGTGAGTCTAGACTCTGGAGCAGACATTTTTCTCTTCTTCAGCTCTTCTACCAGCAGTCCCATGGGATTTATTATCCTCCACATTTCGAAGAGCTCCTTTCCAGTCATCTGAGTAATTAGGAAGTCCTGTAAACAAATAATAATTTGTATAATCAAATAAGTACAAAGAACCTTAAAGCCAGAATTCAAAAGTACTTTTTCTCTTTGGTGCCGGTCCTGGGGCTTGAAGTCAAAGCCCAGGTGCTGTCCCTGAGATTTTTTTTTTTGTTCAAGGTTAGGGCTCACCACTTGGGCCACAGCTCCACTTTGGTTTTTCTGGTGCTTAATTTGAGATAAGAATCTCATGGGGTCTCCTGCCCAGAATGGCTTCAATCCATGATTCTCAGATCTCAGCCTCGTGAGAGCTCTTACAGGTGTGAGCTACTGGTACCAGGCTCAAAATACATTTTTTCACAGAAAAAAATATAGTGGAAAATTTAAGACAAATATAAACATCACTAGCCTGAAAATCTACCTCCTATATCAGTCCCTCAAGTGCTAGGACTATAGATGTGCACCACCATGCCTAGCTTGAAGCTGTTGTTTTAGTTAGTGTACTAAGAATATATACTTCTAATATACATTTTATATTTCTCTCTTAACCTCCCTCTACCCACCCAGTTACAGGAATAACACTTGTTAGAGCCTAGAACCTTGCAGTGTTGACCTCACTTCTGACTTTCACCAAGCATCTACTAAATACCACACAGGTATTATCCTTCATACTAAGGATGCACAGCTAAAGATGACATGACTTGTAGTCCTTTAGCAGTCATATCCTAGAATTATTATTCACTTCTGATCATAAGACAAGTGGTATAACTAAGGCTGTAACACCAAAAAAAAAAAAGCTTCAAATTTTTGTTGAGAAGAAAAATTCATTATCAAGGTAATATGCCAGATGAATCAGAAATGTTTCTTTCTGTCCACCCATGTCTAGGCAGATGCAATTAATAATCATTCACCCTGAGGAAAAGTGCAGTCCTCTCAGGTCCGCTGCTCTGGAGCAGGGCTCCAATTACTGCAAAGAAAGTCCGTTGCAATACGAGTGGAGGGACTGGAAAATCTGCACTCAGGGTTAACTGCTCCACAGCCAGGTTCCTTGCCACATGACACACAACTTCCTCCCCAGTAAGAAAGTCAACTAGACTCTTGATGCCTTCAGCAGGCAAGTCTGGGAATTCGTTTTCAAGAAATTGTGTGAGGCAGGTTTGTGAAAATGATAGGCCCTGTTCACATAGTTCTTGGTTATCTTTAAGATTCAGGAGAACAGCTTCTCTCTCAAGCCCAAGTTTCTGCCGTTTTGCCTCTTCACTTTCGATATAGCAGCTGTTCACAAATGCAGTTTTGAGGAGATCTATGGAAAAGGTTTCCTGTAAGCGGTGTCCAAAAGCTTGGATTTCAGCATGGTAATCCCAGTTGGGTTTCTCTGAACTGAAGATGTAAACAAAAAAAGAGATGGTAATGAGCACATGTTATTTATTATCATGTAAAACTTTCTGTTTTTGTCATTTTCTTAAATTACATATAGGAAATGAGAAAAGGACTTCCCAGTGCCAAGCACTGACAGGCTAAACATAAAACCTTAACTCAGATGAATGCCTACAATCCTCTTACATTCTATATCACAGTAGGATTTAAGTTCCCTTTGACCCAACCTCTGTCTTGCAGTGATGGTTCAACATCCACTAACAGATTATGTCTTCCTTATTTCTGATCTACCATAAAATGATGACTTCCACCTAGATGTGAACATCAATTATAATCTCATAGATTCAGGCCATAAGTACTAAGCAGTAAGCACACTGTTTATTTTACATGTCACAGACTTAAGTTTTGGAATTATCTACTTAAATTGGCAATTAAGTAATCTAGTACCAGTATTATGAATATGTTAAAAAGCTCCTAACAGCCAGGCACTGGTGGCTCACGCCTGTAATCCTAGTTACTTAGGAGGCCGAGAGCTGAGGATCGAGGTTCAAAGCCAGCCTGGGCAGTAAAGTCTGTGAGACTCTTATCTCCAATAAATCACTAGAAAACTGGAAATGGCACTGTAGCTCAAGCGGTAGAGCACTCGCCTTGAGCTGAAGAACGGAGGGACAGCGCCCAGGCCCAGAGTTCAAGCCCTACGACCGACCAAAAAATAAATAAAACTCCTAACATGGACTGGGAATATAATGGTAGAATATCTGCCCAACTTATAGAAGTCCCTGGGTTGGATCCCCAACAGAAATTAATTAATTACAAGAATATACTGAAGCTGAAATGGAAAAACTTGGAAAAAATTATATTAAGTGAAGTAAGCCAGGCCAAAGAAACATAGGTCCCATGGTTTCCCTTATTTGTAATATCTAGTATATGTATGAGTCAAGCGGAAAAGGTCAGATAATGTGATGTCAGGAAAATGAACCGTTAGATGTGTATTTTAATGTTTTTTCTTTCATGCATGTGTTTCTAACGCATTTATAAGATTATCTCTTTGTTGCTTTGTATGTCCCTCCCCCACAGTATAACCCCTGCTTTCACTATATTTGATGTCAGTATAACTTGTGGAGGAGATGGGGAAAAACCAGTTGTTTAAGGATACAGGTGGACCTGTTGCAACAATGAGAAGTACAAGTTGTCATGTCCAAAATGAGCTTTACAATGTCGGTGCGGGAGGGGGGGGGGAAGGGAGGGGAAGGAGAAGGATTGGGATTGGGGGGGAGGGGGGAGGCTGGGAAGGGATGTGAAGGGTAAACAAAGGAGGAGGCTGCAATGCTTGGTAAGAAATGTACCCATTATCCTGCCCATGTAATTGTAACTCCTCTGTACAGTATGTTCACAAATAAAATAAAATTAAATTAAAAAAAAAGAATATACTGAAGCTGATAAACCCCCAATAAAAACCTTTTAAGTAGAGAAAAAAAGGCAGCAAAATTCTGGGTTGAAAATCATTGAATCTATGTAGATATCTTGACATAATGTATAATCCATAGTTCTTCCAATTTCAAAGGCTTAAAATATTAAGCTTTCTACCACTGAGCCACCTTCCCAGCCCCCAAATATTAAGCTTTCTAATAAACAAGAAAACATGAGTTACATGATTCTAATTTTTGCCTATTAGGAAAAGGACACAGTCTGCGGTAGAAGATCATTCCTACCAGCAGGAGTCCAAACTGGATCAATATTTTTCTGGCATGTCAGTATGAAAGCAGTTATCAAAATTTTACATTACTAACAAATTCCCAAAGAGGAGGCAAATTCAAGAATATTCGTTGTTTCATTGGTTTCAAGCAATAATGTAACACTCAAACGTTTGTAAATAAAACCATTAAGAAAAAAAAAAAGTAATGCCAGGCTCACACTTGTAATCCTGGATACTCAGAAGGCTGAGTTCTGAGGATCGCAGTTTGAAGACAGCCCAGGTAGGAAAATCCATGAATTTATATTCAGCTAACCACTAAAAAGCCAGAAGTGGAGATGTGGCTCAAGTTGGTCGAGTGTTAGCCTTGGCTGCGCCCAGGGTCTAAATTCATGCCCCAGAACCAGCACGAAGTAAAGCGCATCTGTATGTGTACTGTCTATGCCATGACATACATTGAAGTGAAAGCAGCAAGAACGCAAGCCTTACTAAGTTAACACGTTTCTTCTGGTCAGACTACAGCAAGATCCACGAGGGCAGAAGCCGAAAGCTAAGCGTTCCTCTTTTTAACTTGGCCAGTGGGCTTTGCCGGTTGTACCCAAGTACTGCACTCGGCCCCCATTCTTCAAATGCTGCGCCCTCTGGTCGGTACCCAAGGAATCCCGGGCATTACGCGACGGGGCCACAACACTCAGCCCACGAAAGGCCACCCTCCAGCCTGCACCAGCTCTCCATTCGCCTCTAGACTCTACAGCTGCGGGGCCCGCGTGGCGCTCTCCCCTGGAGGCGCG